TTGATTATATTGATGGCCAGTAAAGTCTAGCCTGATATTTCATCTTGTTTTATAGTTGGTTATAATTTTTTGATCAAGTTGGTTATAAATCAGCATATTTTGAGAAAAAGAGTTTCAATGAACGCATTTTTCAAATAAATACAAATTACCCCATTAGACACATTATATGATTTTTTTCACCCTATGTCACCAGCAAACAATTTGAGATACAGCATTAATATCTCTGCCATTGGAACTTATGGTAAAAGCATTGTGGTTGCCATTCACTAAAATATTACAATCATTTACAAATTAGAACAATTCTCGGTATTTTTATTTTGACCTTAATGGGTAGTTTACCAGTTAGTGCCATATTGGATATGAAGTACTAACTGCAACGGAATGGTTTTTTTGAATAGGTAAAACTAAAAATAGTTTTATGGAAGACAACAAATAAAAATATATTATTAAAGCTGAAATATTGATAATCCAAGACAAAATAAATATTTTATGTGAAACATTTTCTATTAAGATTAGTCTGAACCAGACATTTGAGATGGTTCCTTAATTGCCATTTGGCCGTTTTGAATTTATAAAACAACTATTTTATCCTATGTTTCCACTGTATCAGAATGAACATCAAACATTAGACTTCCTAGTTGTGTTCATTGCACTCCCACTCGAACAGCAATGCATGATGGGATTCATTGTAGTAAAGACAAATAATAACTTAATAGAATATAACACTGTAATTTTTAGATTTGGCTAAGTTAACCAAAATTTCAATCAAGTTTTGCCATCATTACAACTTAATAACCTGCCAGTTAATTTAAAAAATGTTGTTTAAAAGATGCATCTCATCCTTAAAGTGAGAGAGTCGTCACCTGCGCATGCATGGGAATTGAGTCCCAAGTGACGATAACAACACACGGTAAAAGCGCAAAGTCTCATGGGTATACGCTTGTTTGTAAACAGTGACACGCTATGGCCATCTGACGCATGCACAGGTGATGACTCCTCGCTTTAAGTGTTATTTTCAAGGACTGTAATTATAAATTAGGAAATCTTTGATTTTTTTTTGTTTTTCATGGGATGTTATGTATGTATTCTAAGATTGGAATTTCACAAAGTGTTGTATAGTTTTAGTGAAATACATGCAATGAAGAGATTTAGTGTTTGTGTGATGATGTACATGAATATTACCATGTAGTTACAAAACAGGGCATTCTGTGAACGATTGCATCCACATTATACTTCACCAATGTATAACCAGTGCATACAGCAGCAGAGGTTAAGAGGTTGATGGACAACCAACTTTTTGAGTGCATATGCATTTGTTTCATGATCCGATTCAAGATAACAGGTATATGCCCCACTTGAGGACACCAGTAGTTGTTTACAGGGGCATATACAATTGAATGTCGCACTGTCTTTATCCCGTTGTTATTCTTTCTCGGGTACTGAATCAAACTGTCCTGTTTTTACTTGTCATTGATCACAGTAGAAAAATTGAAGCTTGGTTTTGCCTAGAAAACCTATGATTGCTTGTCCCCCCCCCCCCAAGCTGCTGACTCGAGAGTTGATTTGTGTGCAGGAAGGGATTATCAACATCTATCTTCAAAACTTTGGTCACTCAATGCTACTCAACACACGCCACTAGTTGCTGAAGGTGAAAGCTGTCTCTACCCCCATGTTGAGGTCAAAAGTGCTTTGGAAGAACATATTTTGCTTCTGCCTGAGCAGCTGTGATGACCTCTTCCTGAAGCAGCTTTGTAAAGTGATCGTGATAAATTTGTCACGATTGGAGTCAGTCAAGTCTGTCATTTCATGGATATTACGAATGTGTACCTACATGCACTCAGAAAACCAAGGTTTGTGGTAATGGGAACAGCATATCAAATTAGGGTACTTCTGCTTGGGACAAAGATGTGCAAGGCAGTGAGTGGTAGTCAAACCACACACCATGGACATCTTCGTTTACCTGTACATACATTGAACACAATGGCATGTACGGTAATTGGTCCCCGTTACCGAAATTGAAGACTATTAATTTAGTGTCTGTCTCTCCGTCCCTCTGTCCGTGCGTGCGTGCGTGTGTGTGTGTGTGTGTGTCCGGAGCCATTTTTCAGACATGCTGTGACGAAATACGTTCAAACTTAACATAAAAATAATGAATTTTATGACAATTTGATAAAATATGGTCGACTGGTGGCCATTTTGCACCTAAAATTTGCAATATTCTGAAGATGGACAGGTCAATTTTATTCAAACCTTGTATTATTTTTGTTGTTGTTGATGTCTGTGCTGATTCCAGACTATTGCATCGTCTGATTCAGATTACAGCACACAAGTACTATGCGTGTCCGGAACTGCTTATCGGAGATGGACAGATCGATTTTATTCAAACTTTGTATCATAATCATGCATATTGGGTTACAGAAGCACGTCGATTTGTTTTTGAGTTTCAAACAAAAATTTTGTTTTTATTAATGTCTGATTCAGTTAAAAGTTTGCTAGACTCGCAGATAATAAGGTTTGTTATTCTGTTATTCAATCAAATTTTGACAGGTTGACATTTTGTATAAAATTGTTAAATCTTAGTCTATCAACTTGTCCGGAACTGTTTCACAGAAATGGCTGAGACAATTCCATTCAAACTTTGCATCCAGGTCAAACATAATAGGTTGACAAAATCCAAAGCCAAAATCCTTTTTGGAATTCAAACAAAAGCAGGTTGTCTGCAATGCAAGAACTGCTGTAGTCTCACCACATATGCAGTATACCAAGAGATACATTAGCACCTTTAACTCTTTATCGTTCTTGATGTACTGGTACTTTCATCACTCCAGGAATTATCCATTTAGATCTTTTTGTACTCATTAATCAATTCAACACTCAACACATGCCTGAGCCTGAAACACATCTTAGGCTTCGCAAAAGCAGAACTGCAAAACATTTTCTCCAGCTGTATCTACTTGTTTTTCTAACATAAATCAATTGATTCATGTAACCATGGATACTAGTACCAATATATAAAAAGTTATTTTACATTCAACAAAACATCCTTTTGGGGTCGAATTTAAACCCAATTTTACCATAGAATGCACGTAAAGATATTTGCACCTAAAAATGCTTTGTGATATTGATCCAGTCTGGTCATTATTCTTAAAAGTACCATCATATAAACATCTTATTTTAGAGTATCTGGAGCTGCTTCTCATGGATGGGTTGGTCAGTTGATGTTTACATTGATGTACATACAAACTCAAAGGTTTCCTCAATGCTGTGATCACTTTAAGGTGAAGTTAGCTCACATACATACATTGGCAGATTATATACAATTTTGTTCTTATCCAATATGGATGTTTCCCAGCAGAGTATTTTTAAATTGAAAAGAGAAATGTCATTGCACCTTGTGGCTAAAAATAATTTCCTAGGGGCATTTTTTGAAGATTAATGAAAGGCAAAAAATCCTTTAATACCTGGTTCACACAGATTAGAAATACACCATTGTAGAGCCAGTTCGCCAGTTCGCATTGGCTCTACAACCATATATTTTGTTTGTGATACACATTATAAACATGTACGTTATTCTTTGTGTAGCGTGCAGCACGCCCTCTGTAGTTAGATCCATGTTTGAACATATTCATACCCTACCACTACGATTGTTAATCACTTCCTTGAATTTTGACTTCAAAAGTTTTACTGTTCACCCCAATTTCTTGTCTTTTGTGCAATAATCCTGTAAACTTGACTATCACGTAAGGTTGTGTGTATCAATCTAAAAATACTTTCCTCTTGCCAAATAGAAATCAGTAGCCGAACTTCATTATTTCTTAGAATACTCGTTCCACTGACCACAGATATCGCGCGTTTCACTTGTTGCTATGGACGTAGAGATGAATTCCCGGAAGAGGGCGTTTGTGTCACTGTGCGTGTTCACATAAACCTTTGTTTGTACCGGTCACTGGTAGCACAGTGGTTGTCGCATCAGTAGACCCAAGTTCAAATCCTACCTAAGGGTTGACCCTTACCCTGGGTGAGTGTGCCACAGACTCAATGGGAAGGCCAATTCCACTGGCCAAGATGATTCATTCACTAACAAATGCGACTTTGG